TGGTCCGTGGTGGTCTGGGTCAGAGATGAGCGCTCATCACCAGGTCCTACACGATTGAGGTGCCAAGAAATCCCGCTCAGGACAAGGTCAATGAAAGAACGCGGCTGGAAGTGTGTGTCTGTGTGCTTTGGTTTCTTACGACTTGCTCGCTTTGGTTCCCTTGATGCACCATTCCGCAAGTGGGAACCCAACTGTTTGGACAGGAAACGTGTCAGGTCAACAGGAAAGTTGTTTTTGCAGAGGAAGCTGGGTCGGGACACAATGCCTTTTCACTTAACCATCATCCAGAATGTGCCACACCCCCATTTTTGGGGGGACATCCCCTCCAATCTAGGCCACTTCGCGGCGGGCGGAGTTTGGAAATGAGTCGTTGTTCTGCACTCATGGACCCCGCTTTAGATTGTCAGCCCAACCGCGCATCGTCTGAGCCTTAGAAGTACGACCAAAACTTCAGACTTGGTGAGCAGTTTCAGCTTTACTTGTTCCCTTTGCATTGCTTCACATAGCTTGCCTTTTTGCCTTTTTGCCATTTTGGTTTTCCTTCATTCTGCCTTGCAACCAGCCAAGCAAGTTGGAAGTACAAATTGAAGTCCAGCCAAGATAAGGGGGTCCTGTGTTTGTTTGACAACCCGGTTGTCCGCGTACATCTTTGACCCTGTTCGATGTTTGAGTCCATAAACCCGAAGGTTAGATGGTCCAAAACCAGATTCCGATTGGAAAAGAGTCCCACCACCTTCAGTTTATCACCACTTTTCAAAATCACCCTTCAGGGTGAGACCACAAACCACCCACCCGCCGGGTTAGACAAAAACGGTCCTCCCCTTGAACCCAATTTTTGCAGGCCTTCCCGACGAGTCTGCGGGCAGCTGCGCTGTGCTCCTCCCGGGTCTGCATGCAGGTGATGGCGGTCTTCACTCTCAAGGCATGGAGATTCCGCGCGTGCGGCGCATGCGTTGGTTCCAGGTCAAAATGGCTGTGGTGGTCCAAACCGTTTTGGGATCCCAGTTTGGGCTGTCCACTGGGGGTACTGGCTTTTGACCCATGGTCAAAATGATGGAAACGCCGGCGTTTTTGTTGGTGGGTAGAGAAACAAGTCCTCGCATTGCTGGCTTGGGGGGGCCCATATTAGTCAGGAGGGGAACCGGGACTTTGGCATGGTGGACAATTTTCTTTTCGGTGAATATTACAGAAAAAGTAACACACTTATAGGAGAAACACGCCCTTTCTTCAGAAACACTGCACCTCTATTTTCCCTTTCAACAAAATCCTTACGCTCAAAAGCTGGTGTTTAAAGCCACCCACAAAGGGACATGCATGGAGCCCAGGCAAACTTGCCCTTCGCAGTGATTTCTTTCACTGTACTAAATTCAACTTTAAACAGAGGCATTGTATAATATGTACTGATACTCATTATATGCACTGATACTCATTGTAAAGAGCAAGTACTTCACAACAAAACTAGGTTGTGATCATCATAGGAGGAACATGTTAGTGTATTCTGTGGGCCCTGATAGTACCTGTGCGTAACCAAGAGACCCACCGTTTGTTTCAACTAAACAGAAAATGGTAGGTTCCCCACTGCGAGCCGCTGTGCTCTTTGAAACCACCAAAGGTTCGGTCTGATTTGTGGGCCGCTCCGTTGAACTGAGGCGATTGTTGTGAGTTGGTGGGGCGAGTTTCTCGAGTCGTGTGGCAAGTCCTCCGACACCTTGTCAACTTCATAGGATGGCTGGTATCACTGGGCAAGTGAAACATAATTGCCACCTTGACGCTTTTATGTGTTCAAAAATAGTATTGCATACATATGTCACACATGCCTATATATATATATATATCCGCGCGCGGTGAGGTATTCGATGTGCTGTTGTTTTCCACCGGGTAAAGCAACGTCGCCTTTGGTCCACTTTCTCGAGTTGGTTTCTGTTTTTTGCTTTTGGGCAGGAGCCCTCCCAAAGTTTTCCTTCTCGCTCCAGCATGCAGATCTAGTGGCTCCTGTTGCCCCGCCCAGGACTCCACCCAAGAGACTGGGCCCCTTACAGTTGTTCCGTTTGGTCCAGGCTTTCTTTTTACGCACACGACATGTCGAGGATTCCTGAAATGGACCTCGTGGTACGCCCAGGGTTCCATTTTTTTGACTACCCCAAGGTAAACTCGAACCCGGTGTTCTTGAGAAAACCACCCTGGATTTTGCATCCACCCTGGGTACACCCATGACCCCTGGCGTCAGGTGTCGGCGGAGTACTTGGCCTTCTACTCGGCCAGTCAGTGGCTGCAGATCTTTGGCGTTCTGCTGATCATGGCGGGCGTGCCGCGCTCAGCAAAACTTTAAGATGGCACTCCACTGGCGTCGTTTGTTCGGTGTTGTTGTTTTTGTTGTGTGTGGGTTTTGGTTGATCCCCTTTTTGTTTGTTTGAATTGTTTGTTTGTTTGTTTGTTTGTTTGTTTGTGTGTTTGTTTGTTTTGTTTGCCTGTTTGTTTGTTTGTTTGTTTTGTTTGTTTGTTTTGTGTGTTTGTTTGTTTGTTTGTTTGTTTGTTTGTTTGTTTGTTTGTTTGTTTGTTTGTTTGTTTGTTTGTTTGTTTTGTTTGCCTGTGTGTTTGTTTGTTTGTTTGTTTGTTTGTTTGGTTGTTTGGTGGTTTGAATGTTTTTTTTTTGATTGTTTTGTTGAAACATGATTTGTTTTTTCTTTCTTTCTTTTTCCGATGGTTGGCTGTCTTGTTTGCAAGTTCAATTACGTCGTGTTTTCGGTTTTCCGTTTATTTTGGTCCACCCCCACCAAAGATGGAAGCGCACGGGAACCCTTTCCAATTGAAAAGGTTTCTTCCCAAGGTACTTGCGCTGGAACTTTAAATGTGACTTTCAACACTTCCCCAGAATTAGCTCCCCTTTTTTGTGCTTTTTGGGGTCCCTTGGTTTTCCGCTCAGGCAAAAAAGACATTTTTTTGCTGGCGTCCTAATTCCAGCCTAGAACATCAGTGTTCACTGAGTTGGAGTTCGGCCAGCCGTTGCGCTTATTCGCCGGCCCTCATGACTTCGAACCGGGGGACCTCACTTCCGTTCGGGACCCGTAAGACTTGTCGAGGGCGTGGTCGTGGTGCTGAACCCGCGGGAGACCGCGGGGGTGCCTTTGGCGGAGGGCTCGGACCGCGACGCAACGATCCCGGCGGCCGCGGCGTGAGTAGTGATTCACCGGTGTGCGACCGGTGCGCTGAGCTGAATGGATCGCTTTTGGAACAGAAACCGCAGGCTTAGCTGCGAGTTGGTTGAATCTTTCATTTTTAGCTTGTTGGGGAAATATTCCCCAAAAAAAACAGACTTGTTGCGCAGAGCAATAGCCATCACAGTAGCCCAAGCCTCCGTTTTTTGTTTCATTGTAGCCGCAGCCTCCTTTTCTCGTCGGTTGGACGGCCTTATGACATATTCTATTGAAAATGAAAGTATCAGCAAAGGATCCACAAACCACTCAGTTGAGGGATCCTTCTCTTCTGGGAAAGGCCCAAAACCCGGACATGGGTGGCTTTTGAATGAAGATAATGGGGGATCAAGCCTTTTCAAGCCTTAGAATGCGAGGACGGGCCGGCTTCCTCAATCGGAAGGGTCTGGTGTTTGCATAATCGCATTCCCCAGCAAACGAACCTGCAGGTGTTTGTTTCGTCAAAGATGCACATGGAACCTGTACTGCCAAAGCAAGGTTATTACCACGAGGTGCTTCACTGGGTCGTGGGTCTGGATGAACCTCATGGCTGCATCATTCCAAATCTCTTGAAGTCGCCCAGGGTAAAAAAAGCGGCATGGATCTGAATTGCGTTGCCAACGTTTCCTCTATGCCAGCATCTTCGGAGCATAGCCTTCAAGACATAGCAAAATGTACTAGTGGCAGAAGCTGGAACATGTTGGCTGTTGGCTGTCTTGAGTCTTCAGAAGTTGCCGATATTTCCGCGATTCGGTTGCAGCGTCAATATCTGGGTGCGGTGGTTGCGGCATAAGCACGCTGCAGAAGCTTGTGCAAAGCTTGAATTCTCCACTCCCGCCGGTCAGCCTGGACTGGTGCTGAACCCCAAAATGGATGCCCAAGGGGGCATCCGACTTAGCCGCAAGTGGGGAGACGCCCGAGTGCGTTGACTCAAAGAATGATGTGGCAGAACATTCAGAGTGGCGAATCTCTTGCAAAGTGCTGCCCAAAGCCTCCAGCGCTTAATTTTTCGGAAGGAGTTTTCCCACAAAGCTCGTTTTTGAGGAGTTCCTTCAAACGAAACCTGGAGTCTCTATGACCCTTCAAAAATGGGGTCATTAATGGGGTCATGGACCATTTTTTAAAGAGTCATGGAGATTCCAGGTACCAACAACGCAGGTGCCTTTTTCCACCACTGGAGGTCTGGGCTGCCAAATCCTTTTGCGGCCAGTGCGCGAGTGCCTCCCGATTCGCCGAAGGCGAGTGCACTTAAGCCCTCGGGCGAAAAAGAGCGAAGAAGGACTCGGGAGACTGGAGAAGACGAACACGGATAAATCAACCTGATGGGTTTTTCCGTTTCCCTCACAAAGTGAGGGATTCCCCCGATCTAAGATGTCTTTTTTAAATGAATCAGCCAGGAATTAAGCACTTATTCATCCTGAGTTTACATGTATTGATTCACAGGCTTTTGCCTGCGAGCCTTTGTTTGTACACCCATTTGTTCAGCGGCACCCTTTTCCCCTTTTGTTCCATTTGTTCAGACTTCCCGACAAAAGATGGAATCAGCCAGCCAAACAGAGTGCTAATTATTTTCCTACCAGTGTCACTGGTTGGTCACTACTGGGTGTTCTTTGTGATTGGGGCGTCATGGGTGAACCGGAGGGTGGTTCAACCCTGAAAATGCCTTCCAGTTTTTTTTGTTTTTCTCGTTTGTTTTCCTTTGTTTTTTCCCGTAGTGACCGGGGAAAACTAAGTAAACAACTCCAAGAGGCAAAACCGTATGGGCAGTGGGATCCAGCGATGCTCCCGGAAGGCTTCGGGTTCACTGAGGTTGAGGCTTGCGGGCGCGCGGGGCAGCCTGTTGCCAAGCGCTCAGCCTCGGTCGGTTTTAGCACCTCGCCTCGAAAGGCAAGGCCTTGTTGGGGGCCTCCAAAAACCAGGGGGGAGGGGGAAAGGATGGAAAAGGATAAATCGCGGCGAGTTAGGGGTGGAATCCTCTCTGAGCTTTTGGGCTTCAATCTGTTCGGGGTGCGTCAATGTTTTACGACCCTTCAGAGCCGGGCAAGCTGGGGAAATGGCTCGTTTCCGTTGGGTCCAAATATCAGCCTTCGCCATTTTGCGGTAAGTATCCTTTAACTGTATTTTTTAAAGGGGGACAGAAGTGGAACATTTAGGAAGACGGTTTGTGAAGATATAAATTATGTATAGGCATTGCAATATGCATATATATATATATATATATGTACACAACCCCTTTTCTACCCTCTACCCATCATGGAAGTGGACAAGGGCCTGTTTGAGAGAGGATGGTAGCCTTCCAATCTTCAAGACCATTCCACGTCCATGAGTGTAGGGCACCAATCTTTGAATTCGTGTTCTGCAGCAGCGACCACCCCTTGGCTTGGACCAGTCAGGTTGGGCCTTTGGTTTCTTAGGGAGGTGGAAGGCAGCCAGGGTTACCCTCCATCCAACGAGTCCCCCCCGCATTTTGTTTAGCGAAAATCCAACCATACTAGAGTGAACCATGAAACACCCCCTCTATGTAACCATAGTTGTTGGGAATCCATCCATCGTAATTCAAACCAAGCCTTGAGGGATTACTCCCCAGTGCCGTTTGGCAACCGAAAGTAGGTGAACTGGGCACATGTCCCCACCCAGCTTGCCACTTGCATGTGTGCCTTGTCAAATCACTGGGAGTTCCTATTACTTTCTGAGGAGCATGTAAACATCATTGATGTTTGTCAAATGATCACTTACCCTGAAACCCTACCCATTCTTTTGGCGTCAACACAAGATTGCCCGCAGTGGCTTGGACGTCTCTTTCCTGACATGGGTCAGACTAGCTCCACCCTCTTTACGCTTGCTGACGCAAAGAAGCCAAACAGTCACTCCCCCCACTCCGAGCGCCATATCATCCATGTGTTTTCAGATTCCCACCCTGCAATAAATATAGAGGGGCCACATATCCCCCTTGGGTACAAGGCAAATATGTAGGCCCTCTTTCGAGTTTCGCACTTAGGGGTGCAGAGGATCCGATGCCAGAAGGAATCGAGCTGAGTTCATTGGGTTCGTTGCACATGGCCCTCAGGTGCGACCAATTGGCGCTTTTCCATTGAACCTACGTGACCGACCTTTTGCTCAAGAAGAGGGAAGAGATGAGCAGTGCAGTGCGAAGCTGGAGATCGAAGGTTTCATGAGGATTCTACGGGCTTCCACTGTCTGCCCGGGTTCATTCAAATGAACAAATGAACTGGGTAGAATGAGTACCAAGTCTTCCTCTTGCAGGGGTGCATGTTCAGAAGCCTCTGGAGGAAACCTCTGCCTTCCATTCCACCTCCTTTTTTTACCGAGGCCGACTTCTTGGCAGGTCCTTTGGATTCAGACCTAGGCGTGGCATCGATCCTGGCGAATCGACCGGACCTGGTTTCTACTTCGAGTCAAGGCTTCGCAGGTTTTTGCCTCGACCAAGGGGTGCCTTTTTCGGCCTGGGAACTCCACGGATTTCTCGGGGAGCGATGGGGTGACCTGATCCACTTCTTATGTCAGGTTTTGGAGTTGTGCAGACACCTTGGCAGACATGGCTTGCCTAAGACTTTTTGTCTTTGGTTTTCCATGAGGAGACCCAGTCGGGAAGTCTATGTTCCTCAAAATTGATTGTTGAACATGACCTTTGGGGCCTTTGAGTTTCCAATTCAGAATGACTTTGCCTTTAGGATCATACACATGCGGAATAGAGGGAGCTCTGCTAGATCAAGTCTAGTCAGTCCCTGTCAGTCGCTCGTTGCAATATCATGCTTGGGTTCAGACCGCCTACCAAGCTTTGATTGCAGCTTGGACCTCCAGTTTTGGTGAGAAGTGAACCACCCTCCGAGTAGGACACTTCTTACAAAAGACCTGTGTGGTACCGACAAGAGAGGGCCCTTTGACGGAGCGTCATAGATGTTTGAGATATGTCGCAGCGGCATTTCGGCTGGTGACGTATATGTCGTTACGGGTTCTGCCATGAGGGGGAAGCTGTTTCCTGCTTCCAAAACAGATCAACAAGGCTACAAGATACGCTTTTGTGCAAGGTGTGACTCTTGTCCATGGCCAACTGTCAAGCGATTTTTCCGTGCCCGCCGGTCCCCTGAACGCGATCGCTAGGCCTGCAGGTCTTGAAGTCTCTGCGAGATCTGTCATTCTGGCAAGATGCGCCGGGCTGCTTAAAGCTGGGCAGATTGGTGCTGATTCCTTTCTCCGTCATTCTTAATCAAGTGACTTGCCAATGCCGATTTTTTGAATGTTTGTGATTTTTCCGAAGAGGCTTTTTTGGCGAGAAGCGTTGCTCAAGATCAGTCAACTCCTCATTCTAGTTTGCCCCCTTTGGGCTGCCCAAAGCCAAGGTTTTGTTTGGGGGCTTTTGCCGGAGAAGCATCTGAAGGGACCTGTTGTTTTGCCAAAGCCAAACCTGTTGTTTGACATAGGTTTACGGGCCAGACACGAGGTTGAGGGTTGAACAAGCCAGAGTCCCCATTTGAAGTCAGGTGGCCTGATTTGGGACACTCAATCACTGGAATGGAGTCGACTCAGACACTGAATCCCAATGAATATCCTGAATGTTGCCGGAGTCGGAATACATACGTAGTATGACATGGCATGTTGCTGGTGACCAACATGAAGCCACAAATGGGTACATCCCGCGCATTTACGCCGCAAGGACGCAAAGCAATCTGCTGTACATAAGTTTCTGGAATTGCTGCATTAATTTTAATTCCTTGCATTTCAGGGCTACGCTTCCCACAACATGTGTGGATCTGGCAAGTGATAGGTCCAAGGGGGCCCCGGCACATTTCAGCCAGATCCATCCCGAACCACTTGATAGGACCTGGATCACTTGCGGGAGTGAGCACCTCTCAAAAACTCAGCTTGGTTTGATTTATATCCTGGGTCACCCCAGAGATCCACTTCCCCATTTCGAGACAAGGTAAATCAACCCCCAGCTGAACGATCAAAAGCGTTCACGACAACATTTCCTAGAATCCACATGCCCGTTCTGTGCATTTGGAGAGACGAATATGACTTCCGCCCTCGACACGGGTTTTAAGATTCCAACAAATCCATCTACAAGAAGCTTGACCATTCGGAACATCACGGCGCCTCTCACCCAAAAACAAGCGATTTGCAGGACTGCGGAACAGCAAAGTAAACGAGCCAAGTGCCTAATCATCCACTCTTCCAACATGCACTGGCGGGCGGGGGCAAAGAACCCGTTGGGGTCACTGTGTTGGATAGCAATGACCTGAATGCATCGCTTGTTTGTGGTGAGTTCTGCTTGTTAATTATTCATAACGGAGCTTCATTCATCCTGAATACCCATGAAAAGTGAATATATTATACATCCGGGCCCATAGTGAATCGTTTTTGTTGGTGGATGTTCTCCTTTTGACCGCCATACAGATCAACTTGCCAGTATAATTGGCTCATCATCCAGACCATCAGTGGTGCCAAAAGAGAAAAATATTTCCTTCAACTTGAAAAAGAACGGGGGCCCTGTTTCTCCCAGGGCCTGGGATGTGTTTTTGTTGGTCTGCGCGAGCTGGGATGGGATGATGGGCCGGGCGCCCTTAGGATGCAAGTGCTGGCGCGGATGCGAGGCGCTGATGTGAAGAGCGTTTGGGGCGGATGCTTGTGTCGGTTTCAGGGATGCCCTTTCACATCTTGGTGGCTCCCTGCCATCCGGTTCCTTAGCCTTTTAGGCTTTTAGTGTTTAGTGGTAGTTTCCATTTAGCCCACTAAACTGAGGGCAGCCCAGAAATGCTCCGAAGAAATGTGTGTTTCTCCCTGCAGTTTCTCGCTGTGGGTATCCGCCGTTTTGCATGGGATTTTAGCTTCCCTTCCACTCACCGAACCTGATTAGCCCCTGCAAAAGCAGGTATTTTAAAGGTGGGAGAGTGGACCCCCTGAACCAGATTGACCAGGCTTCCTTTTCAAATGAACCAACTGAAAATCAGAATGCGGGCCTGACCAAGAAAGAACATGACCACGTTTGCAACCCTCTCCGGCGACTTTTTGTGCTTTCTTTGAAGTAGCAAAGGTCTCCTCCATTCCTATGTTATGTTTTAAGGTAGACACTATGAAACAGAGTCCTCGTTTTTAGTGCCCCAGATGTGAGCCAAGTCAGAAGAGACCAAACGGGCACCGAAAAGTTGCCAGGGGTCATCATGGTGTTTGCTGCTTTCAGAGGTCCGGATCAAAAAGGGGGCATATGTTCCAGGGTTGCAAGAGCCCTTTGGATTTGTTTCACAGAATATGGGCTGGGTTTTGTTGGCCAGTATCTAGTGCGGGATTCTTTCTATCAATGTGTTTACCTTTTGGGGCTTGCAACTGAAGGCAATGATATCCATTTCATTCATTGATTTGTCGGTTGTCCTTTTTGGGCAGGCTTGAAGTTGGCAATTCTCCCGAGTTGTTGGGAGCAGAGAGTTGAAACAAGCAAGATGGTATTAAAAGCAACAACCAGAAACAAAAAGCAAGGAAGACGTGCAGCTTCGCAATCTCCAGGTGCTTGCATTGATCCATGGGCCGGCATTGCAGTGCTGGAAACATGGGTCCCTCAGCTTCCCTTGGACCTCAAGTGGAGAGGGAACCGGACAATTGCAACAGGAGAAAGCGGGCGCCGGGGCGACGAAACGGCCAGGCCAACGTCTAGCGCTGGGTGCAGATCACTTCGTAGAGGCGATGGCGGCGTGCGACCCAGGCCTTCCGCGACGAGAAGGGGCATCGGGGACTCGATACGAGAGATGCTGGAGGATAGTTCTGGATACGGGAGGGTTTCATGGGATTGGCTTTTTGCTCGAAGTGATTTGAGTGGACTTAAAATGAGTTGAGGTGGGTCGGTCTAGGGTCACCGATTCTGGGCAAAGTCCGGCCGAACTGGAGAACTGCGGAGCACACGGCCGCACCTGTGAACTCTGAACGCGATCCTTTGTTGAGGGCCCACCTTCCCATGGCCACGGCATGGCGAGGCATCACACGCAAACGCACAGGCCCGCACCCGCATGCGCATGCACAAGCCCACACCCACAAACACAAACACACAAACACACCCACACACAAGCACTTCTGGGCAAATTGAAGCATGACCGTACAAAGGCAATTATAGGTTTGCGACTACACCCATGAAAAGATGTTTTAGGCTTTCCCCTATGCCTAGGTGAAGTATGTGCATTCCCTAAGAGAAGAAATGAGTTCAGTTTCACTAGACTTAGTGCTACCCCGAAAGGTAAGGCCGGGCTCCCTTTTATGATGACTGAGGTAAGCCTACAAGTCTAGAGGTTATTCATCCCTTTTTGTTGTGGAGGTTAATTGCTTTCAAAGGTTGTTTTTTAATAGGGAACCCCCCAAAAGCGGTCGGTGGACATGAAACCTCACCTAAATGATATCCTCCAAAGGGTCCCCATAGCAATGAAAGTCTCGCCCAATTGCCGAATGCAGAATTTTAGTTTCACGGGGTGTTCGCTGCGAGCATTGACTCTCAGAGCGCGCGCCCATATGTTTTCTTGGGTGCTTGGCGCTTTTCTGGTAATATGGACGTTTTGCTTGAGAATGGTACAATCCGTTGGGTAGGGATTGGCAACCATTTCTAGTTGTCGCTTTGTCGATGTTCTTAGTTTATCAGTGATCACTGGTTGTGCCAGCATTTGCTGTTCACTTGCCACATCTTCTAACCGCGCTTATAACTCGTATCTGCTTGCAAAGTAGGTTGAACTTCCCAATGAACCCTGGGTGACTGTGTGTATCAGGTGCTCAATAGTCCAGCTCCGGCAAAATGTTCATTTGCCGCATCCCAGTTTGGGACGTGGGTCTCAAACTGCGGCCGAGAGCTTCGGCCAGGCCCTTGGTCGACGGATTTTGGGCTCGCAGCTAACATGTTCAAAATGAGAGCAGCACCCAGATGCTTCAGTGGGTTGAGATTCCTTTCTTCAGTGTGTTGGGAGACGTGTCCCTTTAACGTGAATTGTCTCTGGCTCATGGCTAAAGGTCTGTCGCAGTTCTTAAAGGTTTGCTTAGGATGGCCAGGACTTTGAAGCTTCAAGGTGTCTCTTTGAATCCTCCGCAGAGAACGAACTCCCAACCCGAGCACTCCGAAAAAATAAAATCGTACTCTTTCTGGTGGTAAAATCCGGATGCCCTCCGAGTCAACATGAAGTAGAGTTTTACCTCTCTTCTTGGCGACGTTATCCGCCCAACTGTACAGTGTGCTGCGCAATGTCGGCGCGGCGTGAAGTCATTGCCTACACTCGCCATGGCTTTTTCTCAGTAGCAGTGACCCGACTTTGCCAAAGCGCTTTGCCGACGGCCGCTTGCTCTCAATGGGAAGAACCTCGTGGCCATCCACAAACCGGTTCAACCATTGATGAAAGTTGTGTTCTTTCGGGGGGGCCTCTTCTTTCAGGCTGAAGTAGATCTGGGTGTGTCCTTTTTGGAATCAAAAGGAAAACCCCCTATGGCCCTATGTTGAGAAGTGTTGGAAAAGCAAAAGCAGAGCCGAAGTAAACCAGCACAACTCATGACTCAAACCTTGACACCCATTTTCAAAGATCATATGTGTAGTCTCCCCCCCCAATTTTCCAGATATCCTGAAAGCAAACAACACAAATCCTGTGCTAAGTCTTCGACCATTTGCAACAACACAAACTCTCTCAGGGTCCTCGCAATGTTTACGTGGTCCCAAAGGAGAGCTTGGGCCCGCTTTTTAGAATTCAAAGCGGAACTGAAGGAACTCCACAATTTGAGGGACCACTTCTTATTTTGACCCAAAGGTCGAACACAGATCCGTAGCTCTCATTTTCTGGGTACCTGGAGTCTCCATGACCCTTAAAACATGGGTCCATGACCCCATGATTTTGGGTCATGACCAACCATTTTTTAAGGGTCAGAAGGAGACTCCAGGCAACGTAGGTGGTGCTACTGCAGTGCTTGGGCTACGTCGACCTGGACCGTTTGGTCGCCTGGTTGTGGTGGGAACTACTTCGATGGCCCATGGCGCACTGGGCAATGCTTGAGGCGCTGGTGGCCGCCTTCACGTTTCTGGGGTGGATGCCTTGCCACACTTCCCAGAGGGTCCAAGTAGCTTCTGAGGAGGTACTTGTCTAGGGGTTGATTCCCCATTCTTTTCAACCATTGTTTTTTCCAAAAACTGGGCGTTTTTTCCTGGGTTTCCGGAGGTTTTCTAGGAAGAAGGATCCCTGGAAAGAATGGGGAAAGTACCCCTAGAACTTAGACCCCTTTTTACCCCACAAAAGCCATCCTCAGGTACTTGGACCCTCTGCGCTTTGCATCTTTAACTTTTGGCCTTTGTTTGTGTGTCTCATGGGAATCAGAACCCACAAAGGGGTCGTTGACCTTTGGTGCCCCTTTAAACAACAAGCAAGAAGGGTACCTTCAAAAATAACATATCCCCACATATGGGGAAGCTTAGGCATTTCCTAGGGCTCAGGGTTTCCTAGCTACCTAGTCTGGCCCAGGATCTTGTGGTTCTTCTGGCTCAACGAGGTACCCTTCATCAAGAGAAGCTCGGCTCATTTAGCCGTGTTCGTTTGTTTTGCTGTTGTATTTTGTGTTGGTATGATGTTTTGCAACCGTTTGGTTGCGTGTTTAGTTTTATTAAACTGATTGTATGTTTCTTTTGTTGGCTGTGGTTGCTTGCTTGCTTGCTTGCTTGCTTGCTTGCTTGCTTGCTTGCTTGCTTGCTTGCTTGCTTGCTTGCTTGCTTGCTTGCTTGCTTGCTTGCTTGCTTGCTTGCTTGCTTGCTTGCTTGCTTGCTTGCTTGCTTGCTTGCTTGCTTGCTTGCTTGCTTGCTTGCTTGCTTGCTTGCTTGCTTGCTTGCTTGCTTGCTTGCTTGCTTGCTTGCAAGGTTGCCTACACGTTTGTTGCTTGTTGATTGTGTTTGTGTGCTTGCTTGATTGCTTGCTTGTTTAGTTGCTTGTTTGTTCTTGTTTGTTTGGTTGTTGATTTGTTTCTCGTTTGGGTAGTTGCTTGCTTGCTTGCTTGCTTGCTCGCTGGCTCGCTTGCTTGGTTGGTTGGTTGGTTGGTATGTTAGTTTGTTGGTCTGGTGGTTTGTTGGCTTGGTTGTTTGATAGTGTGTGTGTTAGCCTCACTACTTGCTTGTTCGCTTGCTTGTATGCTTCCTTGTTTGTCTGAGTGTTTGTTTGTTTGCTTGCGTGCTTGCTTGTGTGTGTTTGTGTGTGTGTGTTTTGTGTCTGTTTGTGTGTTTGTGTGTTTGTTTGTTTGTTTGTTTGTTTGTTTGTTTGCTTGCTTGCTTGCTTGTTTGTTTGTGGTTGCTCGTTTGGTTTGTTGATTGATTGGTTGGTGGTTGTTTGCTGGCGTGTTTGCTTGTGTGTTTGGTTGTTTGTTTGTGTGATGTGTGTGTGTGTGTGTGTTTGTTTATCTGTTGTTGTTTGTTTGTTTGTTTGCTTGTTTGTGTGTTGGTGTTTGATTGCTTGTGTGTTTGCTTGTGTGTTTGTTTGCTTGTTTGTGCTTGGTTCATTGTTTGTTTGTTTGTTTGTTTAATTTATTGATTTATTGATTGATTGATTGATTGAGTGATTGATTGATTGCTTGATTCATTAATTGATTGTGTTTGTTTTATTATTTGTGCGTTTGTGTGTTGCTCGTGTTGTTGTTGTTTGTTTGTTTGTTTGTTTGTTTCTGTGTTTGTGTTTGATTGTGTGTTTGTTTGCTTGCTTGCTTGCTTGCTTGCTTGCTTGCTTGCTTGCTTGTTTGTATGCTTGTTTGCGTGTGTGTGTGTGTGTTTGATTGTGTGTTTGTGTGTTTGTGTTTGTTTGTTTGTTTGTTTGTTTGTTTGCTTGTTTGTTTGTTTGTTTGCTTGTTTGTTTGTGTGTTTGTGTGTTTGTTTGTTTGTTTGTTTGTTTGTTTGTTTGTTTGTTTGTTTGTTTGTGTGTGTGTTTGTGTGGTGTTTTGTGTGTTTGTTGTTTATTGTGTTTGTTTGTTTGTTTGTTTGCTTGCTTGGTTGTGTCTTTGCTTCTTTGTTTCTTTGTTTCTTTGTTTGATTGTTTTATTGATCCTTTGTTTCTGTGTTTCTGTGTTTCTTTTTGTTTTTGTTTGTTTGGTTGGTTGTATCTTTGTGTGTGTGTGTGCTTGTTTGTTTGTCGGTTTGTTGACTTGATTATTTGGTTTGTTTGTTTGTTTGTTTGTTTGTTTGTTTGTTTGTTTGTTTATTTGTGTGTGTGTGTGTTTTGTGTGCTTTGTTGTATTTGTTTGTTTGTTTGTTTGCTTGTTTGTTTGTTTGTTTGTTTGTTTGCTTGTTTGTTTGTTTGTTATTTGTGGTTCGTTTGTTTGCTTACTTTGGTTTGTAACCCACGGTGTAGGCTAAGTCAAGGAAGCTCTTATATATACATGTATTGTTGCTTCATTTAGATACGGTTGTGTTACAATTGGCATTCATGTTTTTGTTACGCCGGTTTTACGATGTAAATACGATTTTAGTATGTTTGGCGTAAAACAAGTACAACACATGCTGAAAGGCACTGATCCCGCCCATCATATAAAGCTTTCCTGCTTGAGTCCGGGCACTGGTTTCCTTTGCCCCCACAAAAGGCTAGCTTCTGCCCAAAGGGTGCAAGTACTGCCTCAGGAAATACGTTAAAGGGTGCGGGCAGTGCATCCTCAGAAGGTACCACCAGAAAAGCAAAGACAAAATAATAATGACACAATTAGCAACAATCAGCACAACAA